TTGCTAGGGACTTGCCCGGCACTTGCTCTCTACCTCTATTTGTTATCTTTCTTCTATCATTGACAGTCCCTCTAGGTTGTGGGCTGCTTGCCTGTGTTCCTGAGAAGCATCTACGGTACCAGTCTATAGAGTGTGTTTTCTTTAGTGAATTACCGGTATGTTTACCGGTAATAAACTTGCACTGTTTTATGTATATGTTTGATTACATACAGCCTTGTGACAGTTTTCCTGCATGTCATAAGCATTTGAATATAAATTAAAATGTTAAAATCAAATCTGATATTGTTTTACCTTTTATTTGGTGTGTGGAAGGTGTGCGGAAGAGGGGGTAGTCTTATACGGCGAGTATATAACAAACTCTGTATTTTGAGTGGAAATGTTAGGGGGTCGTCTTATATGCCCAGTCGTCTTATATGCTGGCAAATATGGTAGATGAGAAAGGTAGATCATATCCATTTTACAAATGAAAAAAATGATGCTAGGAAGTTAGACAAATTCTGTCCATACCAGGTTATTTAACTATTAAGTGGGAGAGCATCCAACTATTAAGTAGGTCTTTCTGAACCTCAGAGTCTTTTGATGTATTGTTTCTTAACCACCCAAACTAGAGTACCCCGACTCAGATACTCTGAGTCACTCTGCATCCCTTTGCATGGCTTTTTCTTCAGGTCACTAACCAAAACCTAGAATCACATTATATCTTAATTAGTCTGTGTGTTTATTGTATGTCTCCTCATCTAGAATACAAAGTTAATGAGAACTGGAACTTGGCCATATTTATTGCTATAGTTCCAGTGCCTGGCATATAGTAGTACTAATATTTGTTGAGTGACTGAGTATTGCTGACACTCATATTGTTATTTACTGTGTTATACTGTCACTCTACATAAAAAGACTAAAGGAGTTCTCAGTGTTACTAAAGAAACATACACATATTAGTTGTTTTTTTTTAAAGTAAGCAAAAGTCAGCCTAAGTATTTATATTGTAATAAAATTTCTAAACTTACCTCTACAGGAGGGTAATAGTTATAATTCCAGTACCAAAATGTTTTAGGTAGATAACCCTTGATTAAGTGGTGCTCTGGTACAAAGGGATGAAAAGTTTCTTTTCCAATGGTATCTCTGGAATCTCCCGCTTCTACATTTATAATTTCCATGCATCTTCCCAGTGCTAAATCTTCAATGGAGGAACTATGTGTACATTTCTCTGTTTTAAACGCATCAACAAATCTCTTCAAGGCTTCTTTGCTCAGTACATATCCTGCTCCTCCACTCATGTAGCCCTGCTTAACATAGGGCTTAAATCTTCTCCCAAAGTAAATGGGTTCTTCAGGGCTGTGTTTTGAGAGAAGCCATCTCAAATTGTCTAGTATAACATATGTATCGTCATCGGCTTTCATAAACCAATCAGCATCTTCTAGATAGTGATCATGAACATACTGAAAAGCTTTAATTGTTTTCCAGTATAGCTGGTCACTACCTTCTCTGGTTTCTAATCCCACAGCAGGGAAGTCTTTGTTTTCTTCTGAACTCATAAACAACACTTTATTACAGCGCTGGGCCCATGTAGCTTTGACATGTTTAGCCTTTTTCTCTAGATTTTGAGGTCCTGTCATAACCCAGCAAAGAATTTTAACCTTCTGATAGAGGTTTTCGGCGATGTCAGTGTTCTCATCTATTAAACAGAAAATTTCAAAGTTTCATTTACATATAATGTGAAATCCAAATAAATTATGTTGAAGACATTTTCTTAAACAGTATCAAAGAACCACCCTACCCCCTGTCCCTGTTTCTATTTACCTAGCTACCATTAGTGATTTAACTGAAAGAAAACAAAACTCAACCTAATATGAACTGTCATTTTGATCTATTGGTTTCATGTCAATCTTATCCAGGAGATCAGTGGAGCTAACAAGAGTTGTCACTATGACTTCAAATTTTCAATTAATTTTTCATTGCTCTGAATAAACTCTGAAAGGCAGGAAAGACATGCTGCTGAAGTGGCAGTTTATTTTGAAGCTCACAAGAGTCCACTGTTATGAATTTCTATAAGTACCCCAAAGTGGCTTTTAAAAAAAAAGTTTTCCTAACTACCCTAGTTCCATGAAGAGGCATTAATACAGAGTTGAGATTACTTCCAATAGTACTATATCTCATTTCAAAATGCAAAACCACCAGTCAGAAAAAGAACATATGAATAGGAAGAGGTAGTATTTCCAAGATCATCTATACTTTTTCAAAGTATGGGTTTGCAAAGAAATGTGTAAGGAGCATATGCCAGAATATAAAGCAGCATATTAATTTTTTCATTGAAGAAGTTTTGCTTCTCCCTCCACCTCTAAAAAAGTCCTAAGCAGTGAGCTGAAAGGATTTATATTCTGGTGCAAGCTCCTTATCTGGATGCAGGTAAGTAACAAACAATTCACTGGCTGTCATGTCAAAATCACATTTTGAGTAACAATATGCAGAGGAAGAGTTCAACTATAAGATTCTAAATCAGTGCTTTGTGAAGGACTAATTTTTATATACAATAATTTGAGATCTATACTTTTACAAACATACTAAAAATGAAATACTGAAAAATAAAAATTAAAAATCATATATAAAATCCAAGACCCAGTAAGTTTTTATATTTAGATTTAGACAAAATTATTGTCAAATTACCATAAAATGTCTTTTAATCGTGATTTCAATACTTCTTTTTTTTTTGTCTTTTTTTTAATATTTTATTAATTTTTTACAGAGAGGAAGGGAGAGAGATAGAAAGGTAGAAACATCGATGAGAGAGAAACATCGAACAGCTGCCTCCTGCACATCTCCTACTGGGGATGTGCCTGCAACCCAGGTACATGCCCTTGACCGGAATCGAACCTGGGACCTTTCAGTCCGCAAGCCGACGCTCTATCCACTGAGCCAAACCGGTTTCGGCTCAATACTTCTTTAGTTGTGGACCAGCATGAGTTTGCGAAACCACACTTGTATAGCAATGCTCTAGGCATAATCCTCAGAAAGCACATCCTTAAAGTTAAGGTCAACCAGTGAGTTAAGAAGGCTAACACCTGTGAAAAAGTAACAACTAAAGACATAAATTTCTAGGTAACTGATTGAGAGGGAATAGAAGGCAAGATTGGGAAAGGACATGAAAATATACTTATGCTCCACTAATTATCAAGAATTCACAATCTAAAAATGAGAAAATCACCCTATTTTCAATCAGAGAGAATTCATGGTTCTTATACTTGGGAGCCCAATTTCCTAGCTATATAGACATACCAAATCCTAAATGGAAAGGGAAGATGATGGTGGAGGCAGGAATCTGCAATATGTTTCACTAAGAGCAAGAGAACTTTCTCTCCACTGTTGGTAGATATTCTTTTTCATTCTTTCAATTACTCACTCATTAATTACTTTGTAGTAAGCATATACTAGCACAGGAGATGACAGGATGAATAAGATACATTTGCAAACCAATACTTGCCACATACTAACAGATGCTATAATTTCTGAGGTATGTACAAAGGGTTTGATGTGCTGTGGGAAAAGAAAGCAGTGGCTGGCAAATCCTATGGAGCAGTGCAATGGGAAGTTGGCTAGAACAAAGAAGCTGGGATAAAGCAATATCAGCCAAAATAAGAGATAATGCAGAAAATACATCTTTAAATGAGTAGATGCTCACCAAAAGAAAGGAAAAAAGGCATGGTGAAGTTTGGTTGAGTGCAGGTAGATGGGTATAACTCAAGGCCTGATCAGGGGAAAAGCACTATAGATTGAGAGAAGAAATCTGAAAAATGGTAAAGAAAGTGAACTGCTAGATTTAAGTGACAAATGTGATTGACTGGTAAGCAAAGAAAAGCATCTACCATGACTGCGACGTTTCTGACTTGGGCAGATGGTAGTAAGATATATAAAATATGGGATACAGAAGTTAGAGTAAGTTTCAGAAGTGGGAAAGAAAAGGAGTTCATTTGCATGTTAAATTTGAGAGGAACAGAACTTTTAGCATACCCTACATTTTATGGGCCTTGGAGGAGGACAAGTTAGGTACCTAATACATGTGCCTGCAGTAAGGTCAACCTAGCACAGCTTACTAGTAGTAGAGGAGCCTCAATCCAACTGATCATTTCAAGACTTAGAGCAATGCTACAGAGCAAATGCACAGTGATTAAACTGCTTTACAATAAGTATACCTGCTCAGAGCTGAATCACTGTTACATAAACATTCACACAACATAAAATAAGTTGTAATGTACTTGCTAGTTCACAAAACTCAACCAAGATCTGACACCTTGCCCTACAACCACCACTTGAGAGGTAGGAAAGAAATAATTTACTGCCAGAAAGATAACAGAAACAACTGTTAATGAGGACCCTCTGCATCCTAGAATTCTAATTGTTTTCAAGCTGGTTGCATTTTTTTCTGTCAAATAAACCACAAACTTTGCAGTGATCTTTGAATTATATTAATGCCTTTTTATAGTGTCTAGAACTGGGTTAAAGATAAAGACAACAGCCCTAGCCGGTTTGGCTCAGTAGATAAAGCGTTGGCCTTCGGACTGAAGGGTCCTGAGGTCGATTCTAGTCAAGGGCACATGTCCAGGTTGCGGGCTCGATCCCCAGTGGGGGGCGGGCAGAAGGCAGCCAATCAATTATTCTCTCTCACTGAATGTTTCTGTCTCTCTCCCTCTCCCTCTCCCTCTCTGAAATCAATAATATATATATACATATATATATATTTTTTAAAGATAAAGACAGTAAGTGAGAGATGGGAATTAAAACTATGGGGGTTGATGACATCACACAGGCAAAGAAGAGCCAAAGGACAGAGACTTGGAGAAAGCCTACATTTAATGGGCACACAGAGGGCTCAATTGAGAAAACCTAGTTAGAGATATGAGGCAAGGAGAAAATGAAGTCATTATAACACCCTTAGTTTTTTAATTCCCTACTTCTTTATGCTTCTAAAAAGGAAAAAAGATAAGTGATATTAACTATTTATGAAATTATAAATTAAAATTTATGTATACCTCTTGTGTTTCTCTAAGAAAACACAACTAAGCAAAAACAAAGACCAAAACAAGATGATAGCAAAAAATAAAGATGCAGATATAAACCATTATAACACAATCAGACTAAATAAAAATTTTTAGAAACAAATCTAGACTTAAAAGTTTTGCCTTTTGCCAAATTACAGTTGCTGAACTATTTCTACTAAAAAATAAATTCAAAATTAATATTTTACTACCTAAGTTCGTCTGGCAATTTCCTTCTTCTGAGGCAAACTGAGAATTGTCATTTAACATCTAAAATTAAGATCACTTTTATCAAAAGATATACTGTGATGTAACAAAATTCATATAACTCTTTGCAATTCTTTCAATACTTACACAGACTGAAAAATACTGTCAAATACTGAAAAATACTCCCTAATAAAGTAATCCATACCTTTATGTTGGCTAGCATCTGCATTGAAGTTCATCTGTCCTTCTAGATGATTCTGTCCATTATCATCTGAATGCCTAGCATGAGGATCATTATGAAGAATCTTAGGTTGGGTGTCATCCTGTTCTCCCAACAAAATACTAAACAGCTGAGAACATAAAACAAATCCAACTGCTGATCCACAGAGGAAGATTAAAAAATTCAGCCAAGATTTAGAGGCCATTTCCCAAAAGTATATTTCTGTAAGAAAAAAAAATTAATAGGATGTTATTATAAACTATAGAGCATTATACATACCAAAAGTAAAAAGTCTGATAACTTTTAGCTACACTGGAAAGTTAGTTCCTTTCATATAAGAGAACATATCTAAGAATATTTAATTTTTACCTATGCACAGGAGATAAAAGGATGAATTTACTGCTAAAATAGCACATTATGGACAAGTCAAAAAATGAATAATCATTGTCGAGATGGGACATGGGTAAATACGAGTATGGGAAAACATGATTCAATCAAAATCATTTGAGGAACATTTTAAAAATACAAATTTCCTGGCTCATCAACTGAAATTTCAGATGCAAAGTGCTGAGACAACTAAAATTTATATTTTTACTTTATTTTTTAAGGAAAAGGTTTGTATTATTCTTTGTTTAAAACAACAACAACAACAAAAATAAGCAAGCAATAAAGCACTGCATGAAGAAAGAAATCACTCTAAATCCTAAAAATAACTTTTGATGAATATCATTAGAGATGAATAACATCCTATCTAATAATAGACAAACATGGTAATTGACCATACCTTCGCTACACCTCCCACTGGCTAACCAGCGTGATATGCAAATTAAAACAACCAAGATGGCGGCCGGCAGCCATGCAGCTGAAGTGATCAGAAGGCTTGCTTGCTCCAGTGATGGAGGAAGCCAAGGTTCCCTGTCTGCCGCGGCCCGGCTCTGAGCTCCGAAAGCAACAAAGTTTCAATTATAGAAGCTAAACAAACCCCAGATATCTGCTTTCAGCAGGCCATGGCCCCAGAGCTGGAGCGAGCAGGAGCTGCCTATATAATAAAAGGCTAATGTGCAAATCAACCTAACGGTGGTCGCTATGATGCATACTGACCGCCAGGGGGCAGACGCTCAATGCAGGAGCTGCTCCCTGGTGGTCAGTGTGATTCCACAGGGGGAGCTCTGCTCAGCCACAAGCCAGGCTGATGGCTGCCAGCACAGTGGTGGTGGTGGGAGCCTCTCCTGCCTACTCAGCAGCACTAAGGATGTCCGACTGCAGCTTAGGTCTGCTCCCCCTGGCAAGTGGACAGGGGTCTAGGTGTTGCCCAGGACTCAGAGGTCAGCTGGGACCTGCCTTTCCACACCAGATGCTCACACTTTGATCGCCAGCCAGGCCTAGGGATTGTACCCATGCAACGAATTTCGTGCACCAAGCCTCTAGTCTTTATGAATAAGAGACAGAGATAGAAGGAGAGATAATTATAGCTAACATTTGATTCCTGTACTAAGAGTTTTACATGGATTACCTTAAACCAGTGCTCAACAAACTGTGGCTCGCGAGCCACATGTGGCTCTTTGGCCCCTTCAGTGTGGCTCTTCCACAAAATACCACGTGAGGGCACACATGTACAGTGCAACTGAAACTTCGTGGCCCATGCGCAGAAGTTTGGTATTTTGTGGGAGAGCCACACTCAAGGGGCCAAAGAGCGACATGTGGCTCGCGACCACTGCCTTAAACCATAAACTAAAGACCACTAATCCCATTTCATAGATGAATTCAGACAGAGAGGTTAGTAACCTTTCCAGGATCACATTAGCAATCTAAATCAAGAGTTCAGACTTTTCCGCTGGCCAGGTAACTCAGCTGATTGGAGTGTCATCCTGTACACCAAAAGGTTTAAAGTTCAATTCCTGGTCAAGGCACATCTGTAGGTTATAGGTTTAAATTCCACTCGGGGCAGGTAGGAGAGGCAACTGATCAATGTTTCTCTCATATCAATGTTTCTCTCTTTTTCCCTTCCTCTCTCTAAAATCAATAAACATATCCTTGGGTGAGATTTAAAAATAAAAGTTCAAACTCTTCACCATTTTGCTATAGTTTTACAAAATTTGGCTTGTAAATTTGTATATTTACAAAATAGTCCTGCTATTTTAAATACTTAACATATTAAGTTAGATTTACTTGAATTTATGAAAAAAGAGAAATTAAATAAATCTAAACAAACTTTGAATGTTAGATAAACATTTCTGACATGACTGCCCTCTTTTCAATGATCCCTTTGAAGATAAACATTATGAAAAACATAAAACAATTGGAAGCATGAGTACACACCTTGTATGACTAAAAATTAAATAATGCTGTCTTTAAAAAAAATCAAGACTTAACTAAAAAAACTGGGTAGACAGACTACGTTCATGAAATAGAAGACTCAACATAGTAAACATGTCAATTGTCCCTAACTGGATACACAGATTTAATTCAATTTCTATGAAAATTCTTTCAAGATTTCTTGTATAGACAAGATTATTCTAAAACGTATATGTTAAGGTGAATGAACTAGAATAGCTTGACAATTTTTTTAAAAAGAAGAATAAAGCAGGAGGAATCAGTCTACGTGAATTTAAGATATCTTATAGTGACTGAAATCAAAACTATATAGTACTGGAGTACAAGGCTCATGGACCAATAGAACAGAATAGACAACCGAAAAATAGGTATTTGGTAATTGTACAATGTCAAATATCAACTGATATTTGTATAAAAGCAGCTGAGCGGAGGAAAGATAAGACTTTTCAATAAATGTTGCTGGGAACTCTAGGCCAAAAATAAATAAATAAATAAATTTTTAAAAATTAAAAAAAAAAATATTGACCTAAATCTCATATCTTATACAAAAATTAACTCCAAATGAACCTTGGACTTAAATATAAAATATGCAACTATAAAACTTTTAGGGGGAAAAAACCCCACAAAAGAAAATATTGATCTAGAACTAGGCAAAGAATCCTTAGACTTGACAGCAAAAGCACAATCCAACAAAGGGAAAGATTAATAAGTTGGACTTCATTAAAATTAAACTTGTGCTCCACAAAAGACACTACTGAGAGACTAAAAAGACAAGATAGCCTTAACCGGTTTGGCTCAGTGGCTAGAGCGTCGGCCTGCGGACTCAAGGGACCCAGGTTCGATTCTGGTCAAGGGCATGTACCTTGGTTGCGGGAACATCCCAGGTGGGGAGTGTGCAGGAAGGCAGCTGATTGATGTTTCTAATTCTCTATCCCTTTCCCTTCCTCTCTGTAAAAAATCAATAAAATACATTAAAAAAAAAAGACAAGCTAAACTGGAAGAAAATATTTTCAAACTACATATTTAACAAAAGAACTAGTATTTAGAATATATAAAGAATTCTTAAGACTAGCTGGTTTGGCTCAGTGGGTAAGGCATCTGCCTGCTGACGGAAAGAGCTCCAATCAATGATTCCCTCTCATCAGTGATGTTTCTACCTCTCTCTCCCTCTTCTTTCCTCTCTCTGAAATCAATAAAAACATGTATTTTTTAAAATCATGCAGAGAGAAAGTAGAATAGGTTGCTAGGGACTTAGGGGGAGGGGGAGAGCAACAGGGAGTTATTGTATAATGGGTATAGCATTTCAGTTGCACAACAATATAAATGTACCTAATACCACTGAAACTTACACTTAAAAATGGTTAAGATGGTAAATTTTATGTGTCTTTTACCATAATAAAAAATAATGGAAAAACAAATGAACAATAAAGATGTTGATTTTCTCCAAATTAACCTATAAATGTAATGCACCCCAACAAAAATATAAGATTTTTTAAAGTTAAACAACTTGGTATAAAGTATTCACATAGTATGGAAAAATTAACATGTGAACATGAGAAATTCTGGAAAGAAATATGGGGGTGAACTAACCCTATCAGACCCAGTTAAATACAAGATTTTAAAAATCTAATAATGATGAAATTATTCTAAATGCTGTTTGGAAAATTAAGCATGTGAGTATACTGGAAAATTCTTGAAAGGGACACATTGGGGGTTGGAGGGTAGATTAGGCCTACCAAATATTAAAATATATTACCTACAATAAATGGTGGTATAGTAATAAAAATAATTTTATATTCAGGTCAAACAGGCATATCAATGTATCCGTGAATCTGTAAAAAAAAAAATTTTAATTTAAAAGACATAGCACTGAGAAACTTTTTCTCTCTATAACCAGACTGTCACAAAGAGTATCAATGATATTACAACATCCCACTCTTGCATGGATGATGAATCATTAATTTAACAGAAGCAGCCTCAACTTCCAAATCAGTCAGATAAGGATTTCTCAGACACAACATTCCACATTTATCTTAACTTTGTAGTCTCCAAGGCAACAGGACTCTGACTGGGCTTCTTAGCTTATGCCGGATGTTAATTAACTCCTTGACACACAGTCTCCCTGTGCTTTAAACCTATCAAATATTGATTCATTTAAATTGTATCTAAACCCCACTCTTCAAAACCCTATAATAGCCCTGTCCCTTCTTTATTTAGTGAAATGCTCGCAGTTCCTCTGGTGTTTAGTCTCTCATAGCAAGTTAATTAACCTACCTTTCTAAACCCAAAGATAGTCCTGTTGGTTTTTAGCAGATCAAAATAATCTATTAGAAAAACAAGCACATATGGAAATTTAATACATAAGCCACATAGCATTTCAAATAAAGATGGCTCATTCAAGAAATGATATTGAATTAATCATATGGGAAAAAGTAAAAAGCACAGATGGAATTTCTCTTTCAAATTCCAAATGATTCTAAGATTTCAATATTTAAAAAATAAAATAAAAACAAAATTAAGAGAAAACCTATTTTTATATTTTTATAGAAAGAACTGAGATCGTCCCCAAACTCAAAAGCTATGACTAAATTGTATGAGGTTATTAATTGGATAAACTTCTGGCAGTGAAACTGCTGGTTCAAAGGTATGTTTCTATATTAAATGTTAAAACAAATATGTGCAGCAAAAAAAACAAACAAAATAAGCAAAAAGTATCATAAAGAGAAAAACAAAAGATCAACCTAATATAAAAACAGATACTTAAAAAAGGATGTACCTAATAAGAAAATATAATGGTCAAGGATGTTCAAATTTCAGTCATATTAAAGGAAGGTAAATTAAATGGAGATACTATTTTTAACCTGTCATACTGGAAAACAAATTTAAATTTAATAACACCCAATATTGACATAGATGTGAGAGAAAACTGGCACTCATACATTCTTTCTTACAATATTTACATATCCCCCATGGATAAAGGGGAACTACTGAATACAAAATACTTTTAGAAGGGCAATTAGGCAATATTTTTTTTATACTCACCTGAGGTATACGTTTACTGATTTTAGAAAGGAGGATGTGGGACAGAAAGGAAAACATTGATGTGAGAGAAACATTGACACATTGCCTCCTCTACACGCCTCGACTGGAGATCGAACATGCAACCTATGTACTAGTAATGTGCCCTGACCAGAAATCAAATCCAAAAATTTTTGGTGTATGGACCAACACTCCAACCAACTGAGCAACCTGGCAAGGGCTGGCAGTAGCTTTTAAATTTTTGAAATTAATACCTTGTCCTATCATTTCATAACCAGAAACTTCTCTTAGGGACATAATCTGAAAAATGTTCTTGGTAGCCACAGCAATGTTTATTTACTGACAAGGAATTAGTTTATACAGAAAATAATAACATTTTCTTTTTCATCTCTACACCTAGCTCTCCCCAAAGGTAACTACTACTGCTTCTTATGTATCCATGGAAAAAAAGTAATGCCTGTATAAGCATAAATGTATGTACATCCTTTAATTTATATCAAAGAAATGATGCTCTATAACCATTAATCTCCACTTTACACTTTTCACTTATTTTCTCTCATAACACCCATGTAAGATAAAAGATTTATTTTTTAAGACAAAGCTCTACAGTTTGTATAGTATGATTGTATTTGGCTTTTTAAATGCTTCTGTATATATAAAATATTCTAGAATGATGTACAATAGCCCCCCCCACTTTATCTGCAGTTTCACTTTCCATTATTTCAGTTACCTGTAGTCCAAAAATGTTAAATGAAAATTCCAGTATAAACAATTCGTAAGTTTTAAAATGCCCACTGTTCTAAGTAGAATGATGAAATCTCGCACCATCCAGCTCTGTCCCACCCAGGACATGAATCATCCCTTTGTACACATCTAGGCTGTAAATGTTTCCCCCTCATGTTAGGCATTTAGTAGTTAGGTTATCAGATGAACTAGTATTGGTATGAAAGTGCTTATATTGAAGTAATCCTTATTACTTAATAATGGCCCCAAAGCACAAGAGTAGTGTTGCTTTCAAAGAGAAACCGTAAGAAATTATGTATATGTGTATGTATGCTGAGGGGAAAAACCAGTATATACAGGCATACCTCATTTTATTGCACTTTGCTTTATTGTGCTTCACAGATGTTGCCTTTTTTTTTTTATAAAACAAATTAAAGGCAAAATCCTCCACCAGCTAAAAGATTATGACTTGCTTTATTGCAATGATCTGGAACTGAACTCATAATATCTCCAAAGTATGTATGTATAACAGGGTTCGGCACTATCCACAATTTCAGGCATCTTCTGGAGTTCCTAGAACATATCCCCCATGGATAAGGGAGAACTACTGAATACAAAATATTTAACAAGGGATACCTCTGGGAATTAAGACTGGGTGGCATGGGCAGCAAGGACAAATTTATTTGCATTTTATAACTTTTTTATGTTTTACTTTTTAAAATCAAGTACATAACTATTACTTTTCTGACAAAACTTAAATAAAGGAAGATATTTTATATAGGGAATGAAATAATATAAGAAAAACTAAATTGCACTAATTTCCCACACTTGTTACACAAAAAGATCTCTTGATCCTTTCCAGAGTTCCTCCAACTTTCAGATTTATATACACACAAAGCATTTCCACCTGGACCACAGGCATGTTAAATTCAACATGTCCAAAAGTGACTCATTGCCTTCCTCCCTTAAGCCTGCTCATCTTACCTAATTTACTGGTAATTACCTAAATTACTGACCAATGGGTTCCTATTTCACCAGGAGTCATTGGATTATTTAAAGTAAAAATTAGGGAGACATTGTTAACACTCTCCTTACTTTACCCTATATCCAATTACCAAATCTTGCCAATTTTATTTCCTAAATATTTTTCTAATCCATCCTCTCCTCTCCATTTTTACTACTTGTCCTATTTCAGACCCTCCTCTCTCCCCTAAGATCCTGCAATAACTCACCAATCTACCCGACTCAAGGGTATCTCTCCTCAATTTATTCCCATTCTGTTATCAGAATGACCTATCTAAAATGAAAAGTTGAACTCTATCAATCCATGGGAACCCGCTGCCTACAAGACAAAAACTAAGGACATGATAAGGCCCCTCCTTGACCTAGACTCTATCCAGGTTTCCAGCCTCATATGTTAATACTCCATGCCTTATAATTTATGCTTCAGCAATCCTGAACTCTAGTTTGCTAAATATCCCAGTGCAATTAGCTCCACTATTCCTATTGTCTTCTCTGTCTACACAACAAACACCCTCTTCCCTCCACCATCTATGCCCCAACTGCGTAAGTCCCGGTAAGCCAAAGTTTCTTAACTTGGCACAATTGACACCTTGAGCTGAATAAATTCTCTGTTGTGGAGGCTGTTGTTTACTGTCAGATGTTTAGCAACATCTGGAGCCTATACTCACAAGATGCCAGTAGCACTCCCCCTAGTTGTGACACAGGAGTTTTTTTCTCAAAAGGTCAGACACATTTCCTATTTTCACACATTACAGATTTTGGCATTTATGTACGAATTTAAGCACAAAGTGGAAATTTAAGTACACATTAGATACACATTTAGATTTTAGGATAAAATGCTACTTCTGTTTTTATGGAACAATTCCCCATTTTTTCTTCTTCTTTTAAAAGAATGACCTTAATCCCACTGAATTTTCAGTAAAAGAATTTTGTCATGGCTTTCTTTCAATCTTGTTAGTTTGTATACTAACCTTTTTACTCAAATCTCAACAAATCTTCTAAAAGTCTCATACTTATTATACTTGTAAGCTTAAAGTTGTAAGTGAATCTGAACTGAAGTTCAGCATGATTGTCCATTTCCATCTAATGATTGTTTATGCCTGTACTGTCACAAGAATTCCAATCAATGATTTTACCACACAAAGACTATTTTATATTGCCATGGGGTTTGTAAAGTTCATAAGCTATATATGATGCAATTTTTACCTTAGTGAGCACAAATCAGTATACAAATATACAGTAAAAGGTATATGTCTAGTGACAAACTTGTGTATTGCCATGACTAAGTGAACATTAATTCATTATATGTACTCCTAATTAAGTCTGTGATAAAATTCTAAGAATTCCAAGAATTTCTGAATACTAAATTTACTCAGCAATATATAATCTATACCAAAACGCATATTTTTTTTAAAAAAAAACACCATATCTATCTTTAAGTGGGTAGTAACCACAAAATATTTTTTAAATGCTGAGTCCTAAGTAAAAAGATTCACTGAAACCTTCCAGCCAAATTTGAGACATTTAATAGTTCTCCACTAGTACTAAAAAACCATACTCTTTTCCTGTGAAGAACTTTAATGAGTCACAGTTTCCTGACTAAATCATTATTTTACTGAACATATGGTAAAAAAGAGTTAACTGTTTGGTAACTTGAAACTTTACATTCACTTAAATTGCACATCATCAATACACAATAAGGCAGGCCGAAAATGCATCTAGTTTACTATACACGATACTCCGAAGCACACAGCATCACGCACAAGGCTCCTCTGAAAAGCTGTCTAAACCCCTCTTAAAAACTCAAGGAATATGGGGATAAGGACACATATGTAATAACTTAATCAATAAAGAAATTTAAAAACAAAGACACAAGAAACTCAGGATTCCCACCGTCTACACTTACACCGGAATTAAACCACCTGAAGTCACGCACGGCGCTTGCTCCCGGTGCCCAGCACAGCTGGCTCTCTGTTCTATGCCCAGCTGGTCGCACATGAACCGATTTCCGCCCCTTACACCTCGGCCTAATCACCCACTCTAACGCATTCA